GAGCAATATCTCCGTCGTTTTATTTTTGTTAAGGCTGAGCTTTGAGTATGTTGTAGCTGAGACAATAAGCTATCACAAGTGTGCCCTTTATTTTTCGATCAGATGCCGGGATCATGCTCATATTTCACTTACAAAGTGGGATTAGAGAATTCCATTTTCCGTTTACGTGTAATCTCTATGTGAAATGTTTTGGTATATCGGTAACGCACTTGACTTCCGACCTCGAGGTCCCTGGTTCGAGTCCGGGCGTCTCCAACAATTTGTTTTCTTCACTTTTTTTTCTTTTTGACCTTTCACTGTACCATCTCCTTTGAATATTAAAACACGTAGAATCGCAAATAATGTAATAAACAACCATATTTACTTTATTATTACCCTATTATCACTTGATCCATTACTTTTTGCGTGTAATCCTTATGGGAGATGACTTTTTCTCAAATCTGGATTCTACATTCTTGTCTTTTGCGAGCAATATCGCCGTTATTTCGGCTTGATTTTTGTTGATTTTTTAGTATGTTGTAGCTGAGACTATATACTATCTCAAAGATCTCTCATTTTGTTCAGTCTGATGTCATCATGGTCTGTTGATGATGATCATCAACATCATCATGATCGTGATGATGATCATCATCGTCATCACCATTACTATCAAGATCATCATCATCATGATCATCATCATGATCATCATTGTTTACATGTCTATATAACTTGAAGGCAGACCACCTTATTCGTCCTCGTGACGAATTAAAATCTAGTTTTGGTTGTTATCATTATTATTATTATAACACATAGCGTTATTTTTGTATTACTATTGTTATTATAATACTTCTTAGTATCGTTATTGTTATCATTATCATTATGATTATCATTGTTATTATGTGTTATTGTTGCAATCTTCCATGAAAAAGAGCCGGGAGGGGGGGGGGGGGTCCAAAACGTTGCAAGATCAATGTATTTTTCAGGTACAGGGCACACAATTTGTTGATCCTACGAGTATAACGCCTGTTGATCTGAACAGAGAGATGGAGAGACCATGACAGGAATCTATATATACACTAATAGTAAACTTAAAATATTTTCTTGTGATGAAGTAGAATCGTCATTTCACTGAAAGGGAGCTGGCAGTTCAGAGAATGTAGGAGTACGTCGCAAATAATTTGGATAGTAGGCCTAACTAGGTAAATTACTACAATCTATCCCCGCTAATAATGAGTAGTTTCAGGTTTTCAGCAACTTGGCCACTTTGCATTTTCTATACTCTCTTTACCCCACCGTTTTGAGATGGAAATTTAAAACAAGCTTGTTTCAATAATCAACTGTCAAACGAATCAATCGACCAACTCTTTTCTCTTCTTCAAATTCTTTCTTTCTCCAACTAATTAAAAGTCAATCCTTTAGATTTTAGACTATTTTTCGTTGGTATGTAAATTTGTTTTTAGATTTTTTTTGTAAACACAAACCATTTCCTCCACGCCAAATAGAATTAAACTGTTATCGTGGGAGATCATGTGCGGTTTAAAGCTCATTATTCAGCTTTGTTGCGCTCTATTAAATGATAATTGTCGAGCGTTTTTTTAATGACAAAGATATTTTAACGATGAATGTGAATGACAAAGAACATGCTAAGTATTGTTTTTGCTAGCTGAGGGGAAAACCGAATCAATAATTGTCCGTCACGCAGGCTTGGAGGACTTTATTATTGTTCCTAGACGTATCCAACAAAGCAGAAGAGCTAGAGCTCCGGTCACAACTCACGACCCAAGAACATTTATATTCAAATTTACTTGTAATAAAATTGGATTAACCTTGTTACCAACGGGAATCATCAAAGGCCTACATCTTCTACAAGACTAACCAAGTTCTTCCAAGTATTCGACCATCATTATTTACAAAATAAGGTAAATCCATTCGTTACCATCATCGATATATTACAAGTAATTTTTTGTCATTATTCATGCCAATATAAGTTATTTTGTCATGCATGCTAAATCCAATTCATGGAAATTGTCTTTTTCTTTTACCTTAAAAAAGGATAATCGCTCGAGGGGATTGACTATCGTTTGTAGCACGTGTACGTTTTGAAGTGATATGTCCCGTACGACAAACGAGAAATCGCCATTTTATTTAGGAAAATCTGCAATATCATGCAAACTTTGAAAAATTGTGCCTCTGAAGCAGGTAACCAATTTTTCTTTTTGTTATTGATGTTGTGTCTCTGCTATTGATGTTTTTGTCGTTGTTATTGAAGTAGCTAGAGTTTTCCAGAATAGAAATGAACGATAGGCATATTTTGTTTTGAAAATGTTTGTTCGTACTATTGTTGGCAGTATGACTGCAGTATTATTCTCCCTAACTAATGTGGTTACGTAAAAACTCAGTCTGCTCATACATAAGTTCGTATTTACTTAAGGGTAAGTCCGGCCCATTTGGAAATTGAATTGAATAAATAGATAAAATTGTTACCAACGGACTGAAAGATTCGTCAAGAACAGATAAAAAATACGAAGTTATATAGAAATTTGAAGTTTTGAATAATGAATCTCATAGTCTGTAGGCAGATTAGTCCGTTGATGATGTCATCCTCTCACTTTTTTTCTATCTATTTTGTTCATAAATTTCACAAAAATATCAATTTTCTGCTCTGACAATGTATAATATGACTTAAATCCTCATGGAGAAAGCGAAAAATCACAATTACTGTAACTTATTGTAATAAATACAGGGACTACATATACCGGTGTGTCCACAAAAAAGATCTTAAAATGTCATAAACAAAATGTACGGGAAGTAGTTATTGCAAACAGTCTTTGTGATACATGCCACTCTTTCATAAAATTATGCGAATCCGTATATTCCATATAATTTTTTCATTTTTATGTCAGCTTTTGATGGAAAAACTTTACTTTTTTAAAATTGTTCTCTGTTCACCCACAATGGGACTAGCCTTTTTGATAGACCTATTTACACTACCTTGAGATGTAGACAAGTCATGTCAAATGTAGTCAGAATACGAAGTTACTAAACTCGCGCCAGTTTGAACCCAAATGCAGTTAAACTTGGTATAGGGTCCAGGGGCGTAGACAACGGGGGGGATGAGGGGGATGCATCCCCCCCACCTCACAAGGTGGGGGGGATGGCATGTACAATCATCCCCCCAGGTTTTGGGGAATGATATTTGCTTACTTAATAAGTCATAATGATGATAATAATAGTAATAATAATAATGATAACAATTATAATATTAATAATAATAATACTTATGATGATGATGATAATAATAATCCTCATCATTATTGTAATTGTGTTTATTATTAGCCGCATTCACACGGTGAAAGCCAATTCAGACGGTAAAAAAAAAGAAAATCTTACAAGTATTTTGTGGTTATCTTGTGGTTTGGAAACCACAAGATAACCACAAGATTAAACAGGTGCGGATCTACGGGGGGGTTTAGGGGATTTAACCCCCCCCCCTTGGGCGGCCCAAAAAAACAAACAAAACAAAAAGGAAAAAAAAAGAAAAAAAAAGAAAAAAAGAAAGAAAAAAGAACGCACGCTGGAGAGAAACCCTTTCAAGTGCAAATATTGTGAGAAGATATTCAACACATGATAACTCTGGATATAACTGTGTATTTAACTGTTACTTGATTTAAAAAGACGTTATCATGCACTGCTTTTTATGGTCTCCATTGTGTTAATAGATGCCAGGAAAACATCACTTACGGGGTTAAAATAAACACCCCCAAAAAAATCGGCTCGCCGCTTCGCGGCTCGTGGACGATGCTCCGCATCGTCATTATTGGTCAATCCCCCCCTAATTAGCAAAAAGCTAGATCCGCCCCTGAGTCATCCCCCCCAGGTGTACGAACCTGTCTACGCCACTGATAGGGTCCTTATACAACCTTAACAACTAATTTCAAAACCCCCTGTTGAAATCAGGGCTCATTGATTTTAGAGGCGGTCTCGTTTTTCCACCCTTTGTTTTTACTTGCCAGGTTGGTGACATCGATATACCCAGTCCGGCGGGCACTACTTCGCTCACATTATGATCACTCCCGTTTTAAAACTAATCCACAGCCTCTTTACTGAATGACTAGCTTGAAATACAAAATGAGTTCAGTCGACAGTACGACATATTTAATCATGATGATGTGACCATGATTAATATATCTGCAGATACACTTCTGGTCAGGCGCATACGCAGGAGGGGGGGGGGGGATTAAACCCCCCTCCACCTTCAGTTTTTTTTTTTAATTAAAAAAATTATGCCAATGATTGACTTAAAAAAGGTGACCTTACACCCCCCCCCCCCCCAACGAAACAAAATGTCAATTTTCCAAATTTCGAGACCAAAAAAAAAAAAAAAAAATTGTCCTCTTACCCCCCCCCCCCCCCCCCCCCCCCCTTGAGTTTGAGCAGACATACCTTAATGTGCAGTGCAGGTCACCTTCAGCAAGACAGCTTCTTCAGCAGTTTTTCCATTTTGCGAAAATTCACAATATACATCAATAACATATAATACAATCAACCTTAAATGATCATTATTCAGTCTTATCTTGATCTATATAATAGAGGTGTCGTGGTCTAGTGTATAAGTCTCAGGATTCAAGATCACATGGTTCGCGGTTCGAGTCCCGCCGCGGCACTAATATCTTTGGCGAGACATTAATCTACATGTGCCATACTTGACCCTAGCTCGTGAGGTAGATGGTTACTTAGCAGGAAAATGCGCCATAATGGCAGCCATGCTAAAGCCGGGGAAATATGTGGAGCGCTAGGATCGAGTGTCAAGCATGATAGACATGAGCGCTGTACAAGAACACACTAATGTTATTATTTTTATTATGATTAAAAAGAAAATATAGGGGCCCATGCACAAGTGTCCTTCGATATTCTTTTTTGGTGAAGTTTTCGTAGCTATATAGGTTGTCCTGACTTTTTTTAATGTGTGTTTGTTCGTTTTTAAACTAAAGGTCGTATCATCGGACGTTACTAAGTGAAGAATGGCTTTTCCGTCGCGACTGCCCCTAAGGGACATTCCCTTCCGATACCTACTCGACTTCTTCTCGGCGATTCAGTCCTTAGCCGTTATCCTGGACAACTCTGATGAGAGTGTTGGCAGAGAGGTTCTCCGTGCACTAGGCTTAATAGAGAATCAGAGAAACTATCTGTATGACATATACAGACGACCAATCTATGAAGCATTGATATCACATCGCGACTGGAAGGGAACTGTTCAAGATCTCTACAGGTAATCAAAGAAACAAATATGTCGCAGTTTCTATTGGATTTGATTGTGTTTATTTACCTATTCGATTTCAATAATTACATCTCAAAATGCGTTAATTAGTTAATGAAGAATCGTGTTGGAATTATTTTTCGCTGATAAAATGTAAGGTAGGGTATAGATGCCTATGTTCCTCTATTTTGAGAGGGAATTTCTTACCTTTGATTAGTCAGCATGTGTCAGATTTCCAAAACATTGCAATTTTATTTAATCATTAGTATAATAAAAATATTAAAAAAATTTTTTTTTTTAAAAACTCGATCGATTTCTTGTCCTAACGTGCGGTAAATAATACTTTTTAATGAAGTAACAACTTCCCCTTTCTTTTGTGATGATGAATCTTAATTTCAGGACTCCATAATTAGAGTCATCAATGGTATATTCGTCATGAATTAATTGAGATACATGCAATAAAGAGAAGGATCATTATCCCTAACTATGTGGTATTGTGCCTAAGCGTGTGAGACTATAGTAATTGTGGTAATGATGTTAAAAACAGTGTAAAAAGGTACCTTTTAACTGATAATAGCCCCTTTTTCGTAATGAAATCAAATTTGATGCACAAATCTTTGTAAAGTGCCTCGTTACAAATTATTTCATTTACTTGTTATGAATAATTTTATTGCAATAACCACAATGGAAATTCCAAATATTAATTGTTGCTATATAGGTAGGACATACATCATGGTTTGCCCTACCTAACACCACATAAAGTACGTAATTTATGAAATTCGCATTCTGACTATTGGAATACAATTGTTTGTAAGAGGTGAATGAAACAATTTTTAACGAGGCACTTAACAAAGATTTGTGCATTCAATTTGATTACATTACGAAAATGGCCTATTGATACGGAATGTCCTTTGGTTTTTCAGGGTTCTGAGCTCGACTAGTCAGACGCAGGCTTTACAGACATTGTACACCTTTCTCCGTGAGAGTAAGTTTTACCTTTCATGGTCATAACAATAACATTAGAAGAACATTGTGCTTCAGCCCGATCACAGAGACTTTCGAAAGTTCAACTTCAGGCAATTTCAAAGGCCTTGAACGTCTTTTGCTAAATTGTGTTTACAAGGAAATATTATTTGAATGAGATATGTAATAGGACAAAGACTTTACCCTTGGGTCTATTTCTTGAAAGTCTTTTTTTATAGTGTTTCAGTATATACAAATCTTTCATTTCATCGCAAAGTAAAAAGCTTTAGTATACCATTGCTTTGGCACTTTAGCACTTAAATTTTGAACGAGGACTCAATTTCGAACGAGAATTCATATCTGCGAGCAAGAATTTAATCGTGCAGACTGAACCACTGATGATGAACCCCCCAGTAGCGTACGCAGGATTTTTTTTTCAAAGGGGGGGGGGGGGGGGGGTTTAAAATCGAGGACACTTTTTTTACTTTTTTTTTTGGTCCCAAAAAAATCGCAACGACTCAGCCAGCCGCTGAATAAGCGGGGGGGGGGGGGGGGGGGGGGGTAAGGGGACGCCTTTTTTAGGTCAGCCATTGGCATAATTTTTTTTTTTTAATTAAAAAATAAAAAATAAAATAAAAAAAAAATAAAAAGGGGGGGGGGGTTTCGCCAAAAACATACACAAAACATACAAATAAAAAAAACTCAACCCCCCCCTGCGTACGCGCCTGGATCCACTCCATCCCTTTATGTTCTGCTAAAAGAAAGATTGAGTGGCTTCTTTGCATTACGGAAGTTAAATCAGTTTAAGATGAAATGTCTCGCGCTCATGATCTGAAAATTGGCACGCATTAGGCCTATAATCGCAAGACTTGATATTATTTTTTTTTTTCCTTTAATTACAGACCTGAATGACCGTCAGCGTATACCAGAAGGAGCAACAAAGGCGAACTGGGCGATCTTACTGAATTCAACGCAGTATAGGATCTCCCCTGAGATTTCTTGGCCCCTAGTTTTCATGAGAACATGTACATATAAAGATATTATTCGGATTTTAGATTTCAACTCTCTAAAGGGAAATCATATCCTGTCAAATATATATCCAAAATCATTACCAAAAATCAAAGCTATATACCCGCACTTTCACTGCTCACTTTAATATGCATTCTGCCTATTTCTCTTTATTTATTCAGCACAGCCTTCACCTTTATCGCTCTATTTACAACCAAAACAAAATCTCTGCTATCTTCTCATACACCTTTTTCAATCACATCTCCAACATATTTTTGTGTATATTGGAATTATTACTTTTCTGAAAGGGCTACCACTTGCGCCTCTAAGCTTATAATTATGTGGCAATCCTTTTTATGATTTTTTTAAATTAGTAGTACAAGAAAGTATTTCGTAATGATGATTATTATTTAATTGGTTTATTATAAAGATCAGTGGCGTAGACAGGTTCGTACACCTGGGGGGATGAATGGGCTGCCAACGCTAGTGAGGGAGCGAAGCGACCGAGCGGGGGGAGGGTGTGGGAGGGGGTGTCCCCCCCCCCCACGGTAGGGAGCTTTTGCAATTTTGAACTTGAAATCGTGCAATCTGATGCATCCTTTATGAGGTAAAATAACACACACAAGCGTGCACGGGATGACTGGGCTGCCAACGCTAGTGAGGGCGCGAAGCGCCCGAGCGAGGGAGCGAAGCGACCGAGCGGGGGAAGGGTGTGGGAGGGGAGTGTCCCCCCTCCCACGGTAGGGAGCTTTTGCAATTTTGAACTTGAAATCGTGCAATCTGATGCATACTTAATGAGGTAAAATAACACACACAAGCGTGCACGGGATGACTGGGCTGCCAACGCTAGTGAGGGCGCGAAGCGCCCGAGCGAGGGAGCGAAGCGACCGAGCGGGGGAAGGGTGTGGGAGGGGGGTGTACGTCCCCCCTCCCACGGTAGGGAGCTTTTGCAATTTTGAACTTGAAATCGTGCAATCTGATGCATACTTAATGAGGTAAAATAACACACACAGGCGTGCACGGGATGACTGGGCTGCCAACGCTAGTGAGGGCGCGAAGCGCCCGAGCGAGGGAGCGAAGCGACCGAGCGGGGGAAGGGTGTGGGAGTAGGGAGCTTTTGCAATTTTGAACTTGAAATCGTGCAATCTGATGCATACTTAATGAGGTAAAATAACACACACACGCGTGCACGCACACACACACGCACTCACACACACACACACACACACACACACGCATACTCACACACACACACACACACACATACTACGCCTTGAATGGACAGACATACATCGACAAGATCTACACACCGTGGCATACGAATACAGAATGGACTGACACATAGTATTGCATATTGAACCACACTACGTATTTATTTATCTCTGCGAATTTTGCTGTTACACCTCTTCAGAAAAAAACCCAATGTCAACTGTGTACACGCAGGTATAGTCTTTGTTGTCTTGATAGGGGTATGTGGTTATGAATGAAAACAGCCTCTGTGGCCATTTGTGAATAGAACACATAAACAACAAACAAATAACGATTAAACTTTGAACAATATGTCTGTTCAATATAAAGCATAATGAATACGTACATACTATGATTTTTTTTACCTCAAAGAAACAGGCATAGTATCCATAGATGGATATTGGCTGGCGGCTCATTAACATACAGATACAAAAAACATAAACAGTATCACTATGATCCATGGAGTAACAATACTGCTTTGTAAGTTTGTGAAGAAATCGGAACCATAACGGCATTGCATCGTTTCAAATTAGGGCATTATTTACTTCTATTTGATCTCAGTCTTATAATAGTAATAGTAATAATAATAATAATAATAAATAATAATAATAATAATAATAATAATAATAATAATAATAATAATAATAATAATAATAATAATAATAATACAAATAAAAAATAATACTAATACAAATAATAATGCTAATACTAATAGGTTCCTTTTATCTCGCATTTCAAGACAGGGTAAATTCACACTGCGCTTTACATGAAACAAACTTCTTTAAACATTTCAAACTTATGTCTTCATGCATCAATCAACATACTTCAAATGAATACAAAACAAAGTGCATCTTAAATAAAACAAAAATAAATAAATAGTTAACAATACAGAAAAGATGTAGATGCTGCAAGCTTAACAACAAACTAATGTATACCAGTCAGTCCTGATATCAGTATTAGTGTAACAATAGTCATATAGTGGGAGCATGAAGTTGAACAATTCATGATTATACATAATTATATATGTTTGTTTGAATAATACTTGTTATAAAGATAGTAGTACGGTACTCTCTGTCACGAATTATTATGTATACTGTTGTATCATATTCATTTTCTATTCTGTTTTAGAATTGGCTTTCACCGTGTGAATGCGGCTAACAATAAACACAATTACATTAAAGATGAGGATTATTATTATCATCATCATAATTATTATTATTATTAATATTATAATTGTTATCATTATTATTATTACTATTATTATCATCATTATGACTTATTAAGTAAGCAAATATCATTCCCAAAAACCTGGGGGGGGTGATTGTACATGCCATCCCCCCCACCTTGTGAAGTGGGGGGGGGGATGCATCCCCCTCATCCCCCCCCCCCCGTTGTCTACGCCCCTGATAAAGATAATGCTGTAATGAATTTGTAACTTTGGAAAAAGACAATGAACAAAAATGTATGAATCAAATTAATTAAATTGAATCAAATCATTGACAATTGACAATTGACAATCAGCCGTGCATGAATTATTTCGTCTATGGCTGATCTTCAACGAAACGGAGTTAAGTCTTTTGTCAATACCGTTTATTGCTACGGTAGGCAGCCAGTGAAATCGAATTCTTTAAATCAAATTATGGAAATACAAGCACTACTTTAAATAAACAGAACTTTGTCATTCTTAGCTCATTTTTCTCGGTTGAGGTGTCCTAATGAAAGGGCAGAAACTGAACTGTCTAGATATTGATTTTCCCTTTGAAATTCGGATACCGTCCGCCAAATAATTTTTGTTGGTTCCCTCTCTTCAAATTAATTTTAATTACTCATGCTCATATGAGTTGCATCAAATGAAAGAGGAGGATCTAAGCTTTACAAGCATGTGTCATTTATTAATTATCATTGTGATTAAATTATGATAAAAGATCGATAATTGTCGGTTTCGTTTTTTCTGGGACGCACTGTAGTATATGTTTACATATCAAGTTTTATGTGGGCTAAAAAAAAAAGAAATTCTTTCTAATTTTTTTAATGCTGTTTTTTACCTTTTATTTAAACTTAATATTATTTGTATGGTGGTTTTATTAATTGGTGCAAATACGGGGATGTTTATAGAGTGGTATTAGCTAATTATTAGTATTTTTATTGTCCAAATCTTCTTGTCCAATGTTGTCAGGTTTATTCTGTATGTTCGAGAATACCACATGATGATTTAAACAACGGTCTGTGTAATGAATAGAATTTTCTCCTCATAATTTTTTTTTCTCTCTCCTTTTTATGTATGATAGACATCTTTCCTACCTGTAGCCGCGTGCAGAAGATTGTTTACATGGTGTTCCCGTTCAGCACGGCTTATGCGTCTGACATGTACCAGTCTATAAGCAACCTGATGAACAACGTGATTATCTTCGCTTGGTTCCTGACCATAGCACAGAACGCAATAACCATCTACCAGGAGGGACGTCTCCAATACTCGGTCACAATCTTCATCTCTGTCTCTCTCTGGACCAAGCTTTACCTCGTGAACGAACCTTTGAATCAACTAAGAGAATTGTTTCCATTGGGAAACGATGAGCAAACACTCCGAAGGGCCGACTTCCTCTATAAGGAGATACGAATCGCACTGCTCTTTGTGTTCTTCTTCAAGCTGGCTCTTGCTATGTTCGGTTGTGCCTTGTTCTACGCCTTCCCAGATTTCCTCCTTGAAGATCTTCAAAGCAAGACGACTCAGTTCGCCTTGTTTCTGTTCGTCTTTGAGTTGGCCCATAATGCATTCTATTTGTTTACATTCTATAGGGACTCTAATATTTTCCGTATCATAAATGATTTGTTTCCTATGTAGGAAATATTCAAGTCGCACATTCATGGCTGAAATACAGTGTGTACAAGTATGCACATTTAGGTGTTTGCCTTACATAGCGAATCTCCAAAGACCTTTGATTTTTTTTTTTGCTCCTGACATTACGTGATGAATGGCGTTAGTAAACTTTGAATATGATGCATGGTCATTCATCTAACAACATGACACCTATGATGGTTTTGTCAATCCAATCCCTGGAAAGAATTTCGGTTGGGTTTCGACCTCGTCACATTAAATGACTTTAAATCAATGATATGCCGCGGCTATCTATCTAGGCCGAATTTTGTTGGGGTCTCCTTTAATGTCAAATTCAATAATACAATATTTATCTCTCTTTAATTTCTCCAAAGCATCTCTTTAAAAAAGCATAATTGATTTTAAAATGCAATATGTCAAATTTTGGTCACATTGCAAGACATTAATTGCTATTTGTATTCTTTGGTCCTTTATTGGAAAGCTAGGCCAGTTTCGTCTCCTCCATCTTACAATTTAGAGCTACGTGCACATCTTCCATTCGCCACAAGCACATACTCGCAAGACACACACTCGCAATACACTCACAAAGTCATACACAAAGATCGTATGAACACATTTTCATTTAAATTTCACCTTAAGATTTTCCTTTTGAGGCCGCCATCCTTTGGTCAAGCATCGCTTATGGTGGCGATCTCTTACACAGATATTTAGGAGAATTCTCTAAATTCATAATATTATACATTCGTTATAGAAATATTAAGTTCGTTATTTTATGTAAATATATACATCAGATTTTGACATGAAGTTATTATTGTTTACATATCTGTATATTAACTTATGTTTACATGTTCAGTTACTGTATTTGAAAAAAATTGTACCATATCTTGGCTTACGTTTACCCCGCCCCCCCCCCCCCTACTCCGGGGTCGGAATGACCGCATGCGTGTTACCAAAATGTCCGGTAAAGGGGTACTTTTCACGAACCAAAGTCCGGCTCGTACATACACAAAATTGACTTTACACACCGGACTTATAGGGGGTGTTTTCAAAAGGAGGGAACACGCATATGCGTACCCTAAATAACACTGAGTGGGGGGGGGGGGGGGGGGGGCCGGGACGTTTTCATATTCAGTTAAATTTGGAAAAATGCAGAAATGAAATAAATTAAAATAAACTATTATTTCGGCTGCATATGCTTGACAAATTACATATAATAATTTATTTCACGTTTACAAGACAATAAATAAATAATTGTAAAGACCTTAGTGATCGTTTTATAGTGACACTTTATTTAAAAAAAAGCACCATCGCAGCTGTGGTAGTGTTGTCCATAATAGGGGGGGGGGGGGGGGGGGGGGGGGGGGGGTAAGAGGACACTTTTTTTTTTTTTTTTTTTGGTGTCGAAATTTGAAAATTTGGCAATTTGCTCCGTGGGGGGGGGGGGGGGGTAAGGTCACCTTATTTAGGTCAGCCATGGGAATAATTTTTTTTTTTTTTTTTTTATTAAAAAAAAAATTAAAAAAAACCAAAGGGGGGGGGGGGGCTTTGGTTTTTTGTAGGGGGGTTTATACACATAAAAATACCAAAGGGGGGTGTTTAACCCCCCAAACACCCCCCCCCCCCTGCGTACGCGCCTGTGGATGATAGAGTGTTTTCTCACCACACAATCAATAACTGTATGAACTAAGTTTGGTAATATAAGAACTTGCCCTTCATGTTTATGGGGCTGTTCGTATTTCCATAGGACGATAGGCATGCGTGCAAACTTCATTCTTTGAGAATTAATACAATAGGTTTTATGGTATATACTTAATCAAGTCGAATTTACAACATGTACAAAAAGCATTTTGGTAGTTGCAATACAGACGATTTGTGTAGAAACAAATGAATATGCGTGTTGCAGTTGCTAGATCCATGCAACGATTCTTTGTTCTTTTAGTAATTTTTTATACCAATAAAAAGTTTTAACAAGAAATATTTCATTATCGTCATTAATTTTGTACTCTGTGTGTCATACTTTTGTTTGCAAGGTTTGTATGCTGTATAATTATATTCTTATGATTGAAAATTTTAATGAAATATGAAAATGAGATTTCCGCTTCTGCTACATATCCTTTGGCTCTCGGTTTCAACAAAAAAGTATCTATGCTGAGGTCTAAGATTTCATTCTTTAAGTGACTCTCACACTCTGCCGTGTAGGCCTACCGTGTGGCACCGTGCGCGAAAATGTCTGCGGACGGTGGAGAACGGCGAGGGCACACGGTGGTTCGTTATCAAAGCGGGCAACACGTTAATAGGGCGTTGGCGCTTATTTACACCCGGTGGGACCCGGCGAAAGTTTTGGGCATGTTCAAAACTTTGGCCGGCTGGGACCGGCCGCAAGTAAGCGGCAAGAGGACGGTGTTGAACGGTATGAGGACGGTATGAATACGTTATGAAAACGGTCAAACTGTATGAACACGTTCACAACACGCTCATAACCCGTTACAGAACGGTGATGAAAAATGGAGAGCGGACTGACCGTTGCCGTTCAAATCGGGGTATTTATGGCAGTCGTGTCATGACGTCAGCAGTCCGGGGACTCGCTCACAGGACGCTCCGAGCGGTGAGGGGACGCTAAGTGACTGGTAGGTGGCTGCTACAAACCCGGTGCACACGTTCGAGACCCGGTATGGGCCCGGTATGGAAACGGCCAAAATTTTCAACAAAAGTCAGCACGTTCAACACCCGGTATGCGCCCGGTGAGAACGGTCAGAAGATGGCAACGAAACGGTGAAAAGATTAATTTTATGAATTTTTTTTTGCGGCCGGGGACAAGTTCGCTCAAAACCCAACGTTCTGGACTCAGAGTGTGAGAGCTCCATTAATGTGATTCTAGGGCTATGATTTGGTTTAACTGAATAAGCAGAATACAGAGCATGGGCTTCGATCCCCTTCGATCGTCATCCTATCAGGTCCTATGTCTCTCCTTGGTGTTGAATGGCATATAGTATGTATTGCCAAATGCTCAAGTGCCATGAAAAGGTTTGAACCATGGCCCTTCGCATATCCAATCGGGTGATTAAACCACTCCACCATGACATGTCTTCTCTTATACTTTATATTCCTATATGTATTTATCTTTTTTCTTTTTTATTTGAATATCATGATCATTGATTTTTATGTTGTATAATTCGTTTATCTATGATTGAATTGCTTCATTTTATTTCCAATGCGATTAGACCCCTATGTAAAACAGCATTCGTGCAGGGATGTTGTAAGATTAAAGATAAAGTTAAGTTCTGGTCATGCGATTGCATTGTGAAAGAAACGGTGTGGAACCGACCAGAAAAGGTTGATCATCTAGCATATACGAATTTGTGTGTATTGCAAGGTTCTGGAATTATCAAAATGATAAGAAATTTGGCCAAGTCTTGGTAAAGTTACAAACACTAGCACAGAAAGATGTATATGGGACTACACGAACACGTGGCGTAAAAAGCCGGCCCCCCGATTTGTACGATGTTACATGCATATTTAGAATATGAAGGCATTTGAAGAGCCATGCTTTTCAGGGAACATGTCTTAACTGATGTTCTTCCACACTTGCATAATAAGAATGAGTAATGCTCACAAATTATTTTTCACCTCTTCCCAGAACTCAACCTTCTCTTTAATGCCGGGCATTGTGCTGGATTACTATGTTTTTTCCGATAAAAGTACAGAGAAATTGCAAATTATTTGTTTATATCATACTTTTTGAAAGGTTGCTCAAGTGGCTTCCGGGCACCCCAATGCTTCAAAAAGACGCACTTTTTAGAAAACTTTATTTTTTCATGCAAAAAATGCTTCTTTGTCCTATGCACCCGAGTCGGATTGAGCGGATGCCGGATACAACGTTTCAATATGTAACACAAATGACACAAGGCAAGACAGCACTAAATTAAATACCTAAAACCTCTGAGCTTCCGGGGGCTTTGCCCCCTGGACCCCACTAAGGGACCTTAAGAGGGCCCCTGGATGCTCAGCTGACCGTAATTAAAAACCTAAAACCTCTATACCCATTAATGCATAGTGCCGCGCAAGAATAGGCCCATGCACACGCAGTATTAAGAGCTCTAGCTTCTACGCGCACTACTGCGCACTACTGCGCACTGAAAAAGCGTGCAATAGTACTGGAACTATTGCACGCCTTTTCATGAAAAACGTGCAATAGTTTCAGTAAATGAATCACACGTGACCGCGCATGACCAATCATTTGATTAGGATCTGGGAGTGAGTTGTATAATGAGAAATATTTTTGTGTTAGTGGTAATGGCTGAAATTGGCAAAAATAACGCATCGACTTGGCTTACTGAGGACCGCTATCAAAATGCAACTGTTTATCACGCTTACATTTTTTTGCCTCAATTCAGACGTCGATCGCAGAAAATTTAAGACAAACTCCACAAAAGTTTTTCTCGTCACCCACTATTTGTTACACAATATGCATGTATTACGCACAAATTGTGTAGCCTGTATAAATATAGTGTTAGGGAATGATTATTAAGAAGAAACCGTTCTTATTTGAAAACTGAAAACGATTGCAAGATTTTTTTCCCCGTACTGTTCGACTCATTTCCCGTTAAATATCACAACGTGAGAAAGCTTGTTTTCTATCAAGAGTTTATTAAACATAGTCTCTCACAAAATCATTTTATATTTCATTACAATTTTTAATCTAATTAGGCCTATATATCATACAAACCATGTAAACAAAAATATAATAGACACAGTATAAATGACTACAATGAAATATTTCGTGTAAAACAATTGTATTGATATAAACAAATTACTAAAAGAACAAAGAGTCGTTGCATGGATTTAGCAACTGCAACCCGTATAATTTTGTTGCTACACACATCGTCTGTATTGCAACTACCTAATAATGCGTCTTGTACATGTAGTAAATACGACTTGATAAAGTAGCATAAAGCCTGTTCTATTGATTCTAAAAGAATAAAGTATGCACGCATGCCTATCGTCCTATGGAAATACGAACAGCCCCATGAACATGAAGAGCAAGTTCTTATATTAGCAAACTCAGTTCATAAGGTTATTGATTGCATGTCTAGTGAAAAAAAAAACCCAAGAGCATTCTTTTATAGCCTGAAGGCACATTAACATCGGCAAAATTAATGACAACACTTCCACAGTTGCAAGGGTGCTTTAAAAAAAAAGTGTCATGATAAAACTATGCTCAGTATGGTTTTTACAATTATTTATGCATTGTCTTGTAAACGGTAAATAAATGTACGTAATTTGTCAACCGTACGCATCCGAAATATTTGTATATTTTATTCATTTTGTTTTTGCATTTTTCCAAATGATGATGATGATGATGAACAGTATGGCGCCATATATCTGTTTCAAAAAACATTCAAAGGCGCGATACAATAACTAAATATGTAAACGTAAGGTTTAGTACAATTTTTCCAAATAAAATAACTGAACATAAAGCCTTAGGTATTATTACAAACATGTAAACAATAATAATTTCATGTCAAAATCTGATGTACAAAATTTTTATTTACACAAAATAAACTTAATATTTCTATAATACATGTATAATATCATATATCAAGAGAATTTTCCAAAATATCTGTGGAAAAGTGCACTGGAGATCGGCACCATAAGCGGCGCATGACTAAGCGCTTAGAGACATTTTAAGCGCTATATAAAAATTAAATATTATAATTATTATTATTATTATTATAGGATGGCGGCCTCAAAAGAAAAATCTCAGGGTGAAATTTAAGTGAAAATGTCAATAATGGCATATTGCATTTTGAAATCAATTATGTTGATATTTCGATACAAGAGTTTTTTAAAGAGATGCTTTAAAGAAAAGAGAGATAAATACTGCAATATTGAATTTGGTAAGGAGACCCAAACGAATTTCGGTCTCGCGCGTCTTTGGTCAAGGGGGTCAGGCCCCGGCCAATGTGACTGAATTTGGTATATGATCACATTTATAATAGGAGCATTCCTCTTGGAAAGGATATATTTTGCAGAAATTTACACCATCTGTTTTAGAACTATAATGTATTTTCTTTCCCCAACTTCAAAACTTCCCCTTAAAATAAAATGTTGCATATTTGTTTTCTTAAAATATAATGCCAGCAAAATCTGGATATGAGTTTCATATGGAGTTTAAAGTTGCTTAAAATTGGATTTATTGAAAGACATGAGTTCTAATTTTTCATTTATATATATATATACACATCTGTATGCTTTGTTTCCACAACAACAAGAAATACCTCAATTGCGGCTATTCCAAACCTACGAAAAAATTATGTGTTATGACATACACAAAAATCTAACATATTCGGAGACTCGCTAAGGAAAACACGTAAATTTGCATACTTTTACACACTGTATTAATTCAGCCATGAATGTGCGACTTTAAATATTTCCTACATAGGAAACAAATCATTGATGATACGGAAAATATTAGAGTCCCTATAGAATGCAAACAAATAGAATGCATTATGGGCCAACTCAAAGACGAACAGAAACAAGGCGAACTGAGTCGTCCTGCTTTGAAGATCTTCAAGGAGGAAATCTGGGAAGGCGTAGAACAAGGCACAACCGAACATAACAAGCGCCAGCTTGAAGAAGAACACAAAGAGCAATGCGATTCGTATCTCCTTGTAGAGAAAGTCGGCCCTTCGGAGTTTTTGCTCATCGTTTCCCGATGGTACCATTTCTCTTAGTTGATTGAAAGGTTCCTTCATGAGGTAAAGCTTGATCCAGAGAGAGACAGAGATGAAGATGGTTACCGAGTTTTGGAGACGTCCCTCCCGGCAGATGGTTATTGCGTTCTGTACTACGGTCAGGAACAAAATGCCGATATTCATGTTGTTCAGCAGGTTGCTTATAGACCGGTACATGTCAGACGCATAAGCCGTGCTGAATGGGAACACCATGTAGACAATCTCCTGCACGCGGTTACAGATAGGAAAGAAGTCTATCATAGAAAAAAAGGAGAGAGAAAGAGAGAAAATAAATTATGAGGAGAAAATTCTATTCATTACACAGTTCGTTGTCTTATCATCATGTGGTATTCTCTAACATACAGAATAAACCTGACAACATTGGACAAGTAGATTTGGACAATAAAAATACTAATAATTAGCTATTGCCACTTTATGAAAATGTCCCATTTTGCACCAATTTATAAAACCACCATACAATATTTAGTTTAGATAAAAACGTAAAAATAGCATTTAAAAAAAATTGAAAAGAACATTTCATTTTTAGCCCAAATGTGAACATATACTATGATGGAGAGAATATATATATTCAAAGGACAATTCAATCTAGGGATTTTGATGGAATAGGCATAATAGGTCTTAGTCGGCATCATATACTGCATTTTATAAAAGGCGTTGTATTCCCCGATAAATGGATTATATTCCAATAGCCGGCCGTTATGAAAAATTGTTAACAAAAGTACACAACCACAGGCAACGTATGAAATCTATGTTGTGATAATCACATGACAACCACACTTATGGTCAAGACAAGAATTCTAAGTACCGTCGTACTTCATTCAATTTTGATAATTTTATTCAATGATCCTATGCATATTATCTTCTCATGTATACAAAACAAGTCAAAATGTCATGAAAAATGTGCACAAGGGTTTGCAGAGCGAGAAAAAGGTTGTTGGTCGAATATGGTTAATAGGGACTTTTAGATTTGCGTGGACTGATACGTGTGACGTCCATTCAAGGCAGTGCATTAAAAGGACGTCGACCGTAGCAATCCGCATTGTCTTTGTGCAAATCTAAAAGTCCGTAATAGGGACTTTTAGATTTGCGTGGACTGATACGTGTGACGTCCATTCAAGGCAGTGCATTAAAAGGACGTCGACCGTAGCAATCCGCATTGTCTTTGTGCAAATCTAAAAGTCCGTAATGGGGACTTTTAGATTTGCGTGGACTGATACGTGTGACGTCCATTCAAGGCAGTGCATTAAAAGGACGTCGACCGTAGCAATCCGCATTGTCTTTGTGCAAATCTAAAAGTCCGTAATAGGGACTTTTAGATTTGCGTGGACTGATACGTGTGACGTCCATTCAAGGCAGTGCATTAAAAGGACGTCGACCGTAGCAATCCGCATTGTCTTTTTGCAAATCTAAAAGTTTTCAACAACTTCACTTCTGATTAAGTTTTTGATTAAAAACTTCTGTTATCACCAAACGTCAGTTGGGGACTAAAGGGGAAATAACCTCATAGGTATTCTGAAAGAAGAGATGAATTCCTGCTTTTTTGATGTACAATAAATCTTACGAAAGTGTACAATAGATATATAAATGAAGATTTCTTGGCATAATGTATTGCCTTTTAGGCTAACATGGGCGCAGCCATTTTCTCGAAAAAGTGACGTACCAGGCGGAGTTGTACATGTTTCATGCACCAAGCTTTAATTGGAAAGACTTTTTAATTCAATAACAAAAAACCTTTACTTTTTGATGAAGGAAAACCATAGCCGAGAAGGCAAAAATTACATTTGGTGCAAAATATATAAAAGGGTAACAATTATTGTAACTAGTCTATTTAAAAATACTAAAATAAAGCGGTTGAAACTTGAAAATATATTTCACGTATGCGAGACCTTCACCCTAAAACAGAACCAACTTATTTATGCAATTTGCGGTCTGGCAATTGGAGTACAAAGGATAAAAGCAGGTGAATGCAATGATCCAACACCACAAACACCTGGGAAGGAAGCATCCATAAATTTGAATACATTTAGTTGATAAACGAATCCGTATAGTACGTCATGCAATCAAGAAAATGGCGATGCTCATGTCTTGCTGAGAAACTGTTCTTTATTCTTGCTTTATGCCTTTCTCATTCACTTTGGTTGGGAATCTTGAAGAATGGACAAGAATGCAACGAATTTGGGTTTAGTTTTCCTTTTAGAATTATGACACCTCTTCAATGATATGAAGTAAAAGATCATTAAGGGGACATTTGAGGTTATTATTTAATTGTATAGACACGTTGATGAGGTGAATGTTTTAAAGCTGCTTGGTGCTGATATCCAGTACTCAGTTGCTCAACTTGTTTAGATGGCCTTGCAGTCCTGCTTAGCCGATGGCTACCAAAGTTAATAGTCGGTACCCTTCTTTAAAGGTAATACAAAGTTGTGGGAAATTTTGAAAATTGGTTGGATAGCGATTCTTTACAATTTGGATATATTTGGATGCCCCAGTGGATTTATTATAAACACTAGAAAATTTAGCCTCTAAAACACTTCTGTTTTCGAGAAAATTTGAATATAAAAATTTACCGGTGCTCCCGGTAAATTTTGATGAATTTCAAAAAGCGCCTACGGCCGTATACAATGGTAGCTGCGACCAAGCAAATCTCAGAATATGTAGATGTGATATATAACTTCCAAACAAGAATAGCAAATTGATCGATTTTAGTCAAGAAACATTGTTTTATAGCTTAATTAATATCTTGACCTTGAGAGGGAGCTATATAACAAAAAGAGTGTATTATTTACAATTTTATAACTTTAGACTCGATTTCAACTGCGACAACGATCACTGAATATTGTAGGATCGCATATGCTTCCAATGTGTTCATTTGAACCAAATTCATGACCCCATACCAAAACTTTGTATTACCTTTAATATTCCAATTGCGGGGCAAGCGACACAGCAGCGCGCAGAAACCCTTTTGATTTTATTTGATTGGTTTTATTCATTTTTTTATGGTCTTTTTTTTCAAACTTACAAAATAATTAAAACAGTATCATAATGACAAACCAATTATGTAATAGATTGAAGGCGCAAGTGGTAAACCTTTATAAGACGTAATAATTCCTTATACAAAATGATTTTGGGATAGGAGTGAAAAGGGTGTATGAGAAGATGACAGGAGGAGATGGTAATAGAAGATGATGGCTATGCTGAAGAGATAAAGAGCAATAGTCTGAATGCAGAAGTGAGGGATGAAAGTGCGGGAAGCCTTTTGACTTTTGGTAATGATTTTGGATATAAATTTGACAGGTTTTTATTGTTCTTTAGAGACTTGTTTTCTGAAATACGAATAACATCTTCATCATATTTACATGTTTTCACGAAAACTCGGGGCCAAGAAATCTCGGGAGAGATCCTATACTGCGTTGAATTCAGTAAGATTGCCCAGTTCGCCTTTGTTGCTCTTTCTGGTACATGCCGACGGTCATTCAGGTCTGAAATTAAAGAAAATATGATTAATATCAAGTCGTTCTAGCGACTATAGGCCTAAAGACTTTCTGTTCATGAGTGCTAGAAATTTCATCTTTAACCGATGGATGTAACTTCCGTAGTGCAAAAGAACCACTTGATCTATCTTTTATCAGAGCCAACAAGAGGGGTGGACTACCATCAAAAGTTCAGTCTGCAGGATTAACTTTTTGCTCGCAGATATGAATTCTCGTTCGAACTTGAGTCCTCGTTCAAAATTAAAGCACCTACAAAACTAAAGTTATAAGTTATATATGCCGAAATGCCACTGGTATAATAAAGCTTTTTACTACATGCGATGGAATGAAAGATTTGTATATACTGAGACACTATAATAAAGACTTTCATGAAATAAACACAAGGGTAAAGGCAATGTCCTATTATATAATTCATCAACATGTCCTTTCAAACACAATTTAGCAAGAATTGAAATTGCCTAAAGTTGAATTTTCGAAAGTCTCTTTGATCGGGCTGAAACATAATTTTCTTGTTAAGTTATGTTCTTTTGATGTTATTGTTATGACCATGAAAGGTAAAACTTACTCTCACGGAGAAAGGCGTACAACGTCTGTAAAGCCTCCGTCTGATTAGTCGAACTCAGAACCCTGAAAAGTCAAAGGACATTCCATTTTCGTAATGTAATCAAATTTGATGCACAAATCTTTGTTAAGTGCCTCGTTAAAAACTATTTCATCCAACTCTTACGAGGCCAAGGTGTGACAGGGCGAAGTTGGCCCAAATTTTGGCCCAAGGGGAAGGGAGTATTATTTTGCATCTCAATTAATTCATGACGAATATACCATGGATGACTCTAATCATGGAGTCCTGTAATTAAGATTCATCATCAGAAAAGAAAGGGGCAAGTTATTACTCAATTAAAAAGTATTATTTGCTTCAAGTTAGGACAAGAAATCGATCGATACATGATTAGTTTCTTTGCTGTGGTGTACACTCAATACCACAAGGTTCGATCCCTACAAAGGCAGTTGTAGTTTGTTTAATTTTACAAAATTGCGATGTCTTTAGAAATCTGACACATGTTGACTAATCAAATGAGGGATTAAAGGCAACTATGACATTTTATTAGTAAAAAAACAATTTCAAGACAATTCTTGATTAATCAATTAAAGCTTTCGAGATGCAATATTGAAATCGAATCGGGAAATGAAGACAATCAAATCCAATAGAAACTTCGATATATTTTTCTTTGATTACCTGTAAAAATCTTGAACAGTTCCCTTCCAGTTGCGACGCCATATCAACGCTTCATAGATTGGTCGTCGATATCTGTCATACAGATAGTTCCTCTGAATCTCTCTTAAGCCTAGTGCACGTAGAACCTCTCTGCCAACACTCTCATCAGAATTGTCCAGGATAACGGCTAAGGACTGAATCGCTGAGAAGAAGTTGAGTAGGTATCGGAAGGGGATGCCACTTAGGGTCAGTCGCGAAGGAAAAGCCATTCTTCACTTAATAACGATGAAAACAAACAAACAGATAATCAAAAAAGCAGGGCAACCTATGAAAAACTCCACCAAATAAGGGTCATAATCATAATAATAATAATATTTGTGTGTTCTTGTATAGCGCTCATGTCTGTCAAACTTAACATTCCTGGCGCTTCACAATTAGTATTACCCTGGCTCTAGAATGGTTGCCAATATGACGCTCCAGCATTTTTAAAGGAATTAATTCCTGCTAGGTTACCATCTACCTCACAAGTCATGTAGATTAATGTCTTGCCAAAGGACATTAGTGCTGCGGCGGGACTCGAACCGATGAACCATGCGATTTTGAATCCCGAGACTTATCCACTAGACCACGACACCTCTACATAGAGGCTGAGTAATGATCAAGGTCGATTATAATGCAGTACATAATTATTGATGTAAACTGTGAATTTTCGTGATGATTAAAATGAAAACAACTGGTCAGTCCTGCTGAAGGTCACCTGCACCGCACATAGAAATGATGTTAGTTCAAACTTTTCAATTATTTCTTGTCAAACTTCCAATGTTTTTAAAGGCATTTTTTTTACCACAATCTTTTTCAGGAGACATTTTTGCTGTGATGCTCTTTCAAACTTATAGAAGAAAAACTTGAGAAAACTCACTTATTATTTGTCATGTTTATCAGAACTCGATTTTGCGTTTAACGTGTGTGATCTAAATCAGAACCGTATCCGCAATGCAGCAGATGGTCACAATCATCATCATGATTACAATATGTTGTACTGTCGACTGAATCATTTTGTATTTCAAAAATAGTCATTCAGTAAGGAGGCTTTCGATTAGTTCGAAAACGGTTGTGATCATAATTATGAGCGAAGTAGTGCCCGCCGGACAGGGTCCATCAAGGTCACCAGCCTGGTAAGTAAAAAAGAGGTGGGAAATCGAGACCACCTCTAAATCTATGAGCCCTGGTGTCAATAAGCGGGTAGGCCTATTGAATCTAGGTTGTATAAGGACCCTACCCAGTTTAACTGAATCTGGGCTAAGACTCAAACCAAATTAAAATATATCGTTATGATAATTGTAAATTATTGAAAATTGTATATTTATAATAATAATAATAAGATATTTCTATACCGCAAATTGCATGTTGCCTCTATGCAGTCTAGAAGGGAAATAGTTGAAGTAAAGGAAACAGAATTTGTATTACAAATTACATCAATCAATTCAATTAAAATTAAAACTGTGCAAATGAAAATAATACATTTATTTTATTTATTTATTCCAGTTTTATCTAAAAATAGAGGGTAGGTACATTCAGTTTAACAAAACTACTTTCGAAGCACTCCATTCATACTGCCGGAGAGATGCACTCGCTATGGCGAGCCCAGGCAGGAAATGAAGAATTATTTGATTTGTACATCATTACCAATCACTTACAACCAAATACAAATAGTTCATAAATTAATAGTATCCTACGTTAATCTACACAAAAATATAAAAGGCAAAAGATCTAAAGGGCTATTCAGGAACGAGACTTAAAGAGATGTGTTTTTAGCACTGTTTTAAATGTATTAGACCAAATGGTGAACAAAACAATATCTAAAACTGATCACTAACTAAACTATCTGCCGAATCAAAAATCAAATAATTCTTCACTTCCTGCCTGGGCTCGCCACAGCGACTTCATTTCACCTGCAGTATGAATGGCGTACAAATGGAGGAAAGCGGCGGTTTCACCTTTGTTTACTTAAGGTAAATTAAATCTGTATTTTCATCGGTGTGACAAGGAATATATAAAAGTGTATGAGCTTTTGCGTAACCACATTAGAGAGAATAATACTGGAGTCATGCTGCCAAAAATATACATATGGGTAATTCCATAAATAGGGATTTACTTTGTGACAGTTTTAGTGTCCCACTTACATAAGGAACCCACGTATTTGTTGCTCTGAGTATACCACTTGACTGCTCACCACGTACATGTACGTGTTCTAGCTCTTGCGTGTCTGTGCGCACCACGTACATGTACGTGCTTAGTGCATTGCATTTTCAAGAACGTAGCACTGCATAAGGCCTACCCAGCACTGCGATGATGTTATACAGGTCTCGAACAGTAGATGGCGCTTTTCTAGAAAAAGACCGACTTTTTGTGTACAGTGTACATTTTTTGTTAAGTTTTTGTACAGTACAAAAATGCTGTAGCACAGGCGGTATGAACGTGTTTTAAGCCATTAGCAGTCACGTGGTTAAGGACGTAAAGAGTAAAGTGGAGTGAGATTGTAAAGTGATTCCAAGCATAAGATTGCATCCTCATACCTAGAATCACTTAACAATCTCACTCCACTATTTAAGTCTTTACTCAGAGCTACAAAAACGTGTGGGTTCCTTATGTAAGTGGGACACCAATAATGTCACAAAGTGGGTCCCTAATTTATGGAATTACCCATATATATAGTACGAACAAACATTTCCAAAACAAAATATGGCTATTGCTCAATTTTATTCTGAACAAACTCAACAACCACAACAACAACAACAAAGACAAAAACAAGAATAGCGACAGAAAAACACCAATAACAAAAAGTAATATGGTAACCTGCTCCATTTAGAAGTTATCATAAATATTCATGATATTGCAGATTATCCTGAATAAAATGATGATTTCTCGTTTGTCGAAGGGGACATTAAACAGCACATTAACATTACATGTGCTACAAACATTAGTCAAACCCATCGAGTGATTTTTCTTTTTTAAGGCAATTAGAATAAACATACCCACAAACGAGACAATTTCCACGAATCGCGTTTACCATGCTTAATGACGAAATAACTTATTTATAATAGCTCTTATATTGGCATGAATAATGACCAAACAAAATATTTGTAATATATCGAAGATGATAACGAGTGTATTTACCTTTTTTGTAAATAATGTTGGTCGAATACCGGAAAGAATTCGGTCAGTCTTTTAGAAGATATAGGCCTATAATGATTCCCGTTGGCAACAAGGTTAATCTATTTCATTACAAGTAAATTAAAGTATAAATTTTCTTGAGTCGTGCCCCGGAGCGCTACTCTTCTGCTCTGCTGTGCTTTGTGGGGTGGGCATGACATACGTCTATGAACAATAATAAAGGCCTCGATTTGGTTTTCCCCTTAGCTAGCCCTCTTTCATAATAATGAGATCAACAAATAAAAGACCTCGCAAGCTAGGCTCCGCACAGTCATCGTTAAAATATCTTTGCCATTGTCTGACGTATGACAAAGAGCGCCGCGCATGATCTCTCACGTGAACATTAATTCTATATGGCGTGGGGAAAATAGTTTGTGTAATCAACAAAACAAATCTGAACACAAATAATACATATTATACATACAAACAAAAGATTGAATTAAATCTAAATGTAATGGCTTCAGATGAAGAAAACAACTTTTGAAGAAGGAAAGAGAATTCGTTGATTGATTCGTTTGACAGTTCATTATTGAAACGAGCTTGTGTTTATAATCCCATCACAAAATGATGGGGTAACAAAATATAGAAAGTGCAAACTGGCCAAGTTACTGAAAACTTGAAACTACTCATTATAAGCTGGGATAGAATCATAGTTATCTACCTAGTTAGGCCCACTATCCAAATTTTCGACAAACTCCTACATTTTCTCTGAACTGTCAACTCCCTTTCATTGAAATTCTCCTTCATCATATTAAGTAAATATGATAGTGTATATATAGATTCCAGTCATGGTCTCTCTATCTCTCTCCATCTTTCTCTTTCTCTTTCTCTTTCTCTCTCTCTCTCTCTCTCTCTCTCTCTATCTCTCTCTCTCTCTCTCTGTTCAGATCAACGCGTTATACTCGTAGGATCAACAATGAGTGCACTGCATGTACCCGACACATTTTGATCTGTCAACGTTTTGACTTCCCACCCCCACCGCACCTCGGCTCTATTTCATGGGAGATTGCAACAACAAAAACAGAGGGGGGATTTCTGTAATTCCAGGAAAATATTACTCATCTCCATATCCACAGTGACATTTTTAATTGTTCAAAATTTCTGTTGTTAATCATACCTGACTTTGGAAAACGTGTTCAACGATTAAATGCATACAAACTCATGCATTGAAGAACGTCTGTACAGTATGTGTATTATTATGACTGTTCAAACATGCGATTTATTACATAGGATGATGTTTAGAGATAAATCAGCAAAACAAATCAGACAAGGATATCGTTTTTATTTATTTTATTTATTTATTTATTTATTCACGAATATTTAGATAGAGTAGCCTGATCAGCAATCAAGACATTAAAAACCTGTAAATATACAAATGAAATTTAAAAAGCAAATTAAAACATTAACATTTCATAAATTGTGACAAGATACAACAAATACTTAAAATAAGTTACAAGCATGGTATTATTAAAATGCATGCTCTCAGAACGACTTAGTGTAATTGTGGTTCGAAAGCTCAACGGTTCCCTCTCGATCCCCATCAATTTCATTGGTTCTCATTCTTGCAATACAGTCATACACAGCAACAACAAATATGATACTGAAGTTAAATATCAACAATAAACACTGTAAAGGGGGAAACGCCACATTTTCCCTGGATTGAAAATATGCAGTTTACGGAACTCCCTCGATTATAACGAGGCACCGCTAATACCCAATATGCCAGCCTGTATAAAACTCATTAAAATGTACATGCTTGTATGCACATGAACAGACAAACCTAGATGATGGGCTTTCATCAATTATTTGCAGTTGATTGCGTGGAAAAATCTACTTAATCGTCAACGCAAATGAGATGAACTTGAAAACACAATAACACACGGCACGCTCAATAAATCCAAACAACGGTGAACAAAGGTGAATAATTTACACAGTAGTGACGCTGTATCATTAAATGTCTCGTTTGTTATAATCATATCGTGAAAAGTGCATAATTTTCCACTAAAATACACTATCAACATGACGGACAAAAAAGAACAAAATATACAGTTCCTCAGGTAGACAAAGGATCATCCCTTCACTGCTATTATGTAAAAATGTGTTGAACAGGTGAATATGCATGTGACACCTGTGCTACACACTTTTACATAATAGCAGTGAAGGGATGTTCCTTTATCTACATGAGAAACTGTATATTTTGTCCTCTTTCTTTATCCGTCATGTTCATAGTGATAGTAAAACAGTCAAGAACAATGATATCATTGTAACTTTCAAAGAATTTCTTCATGACGTGTCTAAGCTCCAAAAGGGTATCGATCAATAATAGGAAACGTCCCTACATCAGCATACATGTACAGTCAAACCTGCTAATTTAGTAACCACCTGTACAGAGAGACCAACTGTCTATAAAGACCACAATGTTCGTTTCCCTTAACTGTGTTTCTTATTGAAAAATGTATCATAGAAACTTGTACGTAAAGACTACTTGTTCATAAAGGCTACATTTGTTGTCTCCTTTGGGTGGTCTTTATACACAGGTTTCACTGTACTACATACATTCATACCAACATTTATCGTAATGAGTGAAATACAACTGTTAAACACGATGGGCTGTCTTGTGTGTTGTGGAAATATAAATGCAAGACTGCAAGACTTTCGGACGTAGCTGATATATCTATATTACTAATACCACTAATCGCCGCGGGGGGTCCAAACGGGTACAAAACGGTTCCTCAAAAACGCCTTTCCCCGACCCCGCCCGCCTCCGCCGTGGCGCGGGGAGGGCGGCACAATTCCACGAGGCCTGTCTCCCGTAACCCGCGTGCCACGTCGACCCCGCGATCGACGTCCACGCCGTTACACGCGCTTTCGGGGTGCCGGGGAGGACGGGCGGGCGAGAGCACGGCGGGCGTCGTGGATTGCGAGGAGGCGACGAACCCGCGAGAGCGAGTCGACAAGGCGTGCACCCGCCCTCTGTCTAATTATCAAAGAGAGACGAAGAGACACACGATGGACGAGAATCCACTCGCGCCAACGGGTGTAGCAAGTCTCATTGTAAAGATTGCGGCGTATTTCGAGTAAGGCCTCTTGCTATAGGATTCGCTTTGTAGCATGTAAGAGAAACACACATTAACAGATGACTCACCCGGGTGATGGGGTGTAGCCATTATGTACGCTCAACGGGTTGAGCTGACCCGTGCTATGCGTCTTTCTATAGGATATGCTTTGTAGGCCAGGCGCCCACAGTGTACGTGTATTACACGCTCTCAGGTCACACACATGCACACACCACAGTCGTTTCGAGTCGAGGCGATTGCGACAACTGGCGCAAACCATGGACCTATTTTCACGTAAAATCTTTACTCTGAAAATAATTATACAAATTCTGTGATCTATGCCAACATAATCATAGTCCAAGCTTCTGTTTTATTGGTCTTTTCATGAAAACTACATCGAAATCACAACAAGAATAGCGCAAATAGATCTGTGATAGTACGCCTTCACGTGACAGTTCAGTTGCAAACTGCCTTGAGTCCACAGCGTATGGCCACCGCAGCTGAGCGGTGCTGTCGGCGGTGCTGTCGGAGCTGAGTGTGTGAGCATGGAGTAGCGGTGACCGGAGTAGCCAGGCCTGTCCGTGGTGTGAGGAGAGTCTAAACAACACTTTGAAATTGCTATTATTGCTCCGATATCAATATAGTTTCGTGAATAGATGTATGAAACCTGGGCTTAGATTGTGATTATTCTGGCCATGTATAGTTGTATACTGAATTTCGATAATCATTTTTCAAAGTGAAGTTTTCACAAGCAAAGTAAAGTTTTTACAACAAAATCAGACGGTCGTCATGGTCGTTTAAAAACATGATAATACTTTTAGTATGATACAGTTCTTGCATCAAATCAATTTTTAAAGTATGGGGGAGGGGGGGGGGGGGGGGGGTCAGGTAACGCAAAGCGATTTGATTGCAGGCGTGGTGTCCACGGGTACAAAGGGCTGAACCCCCCGAAAGCTCAGGGGTTTTGGGCATTTAATTACAGTCAGATGAGCATATTTTTAATATTAATTTTATTGGTCTTTTCATGAAAACTACATCGAAATCACAACAAGAATAGCGCAAATAGATCTGTGATCGTACGCCTTCACGTGACAGTTCAGTTGCAAACTGCCTTGAGTCCACAGCGTATTGCCACCGCAGCTGAGCGGTGCTGTCGGCGGTGCTGTCGGAGCTGAGTGTGTGAGCATGGAGTAGCGGTGACCGGAGTAGCCAGGCCTGTCCGTGGTGTGAGGAGAGTCTAAACAACACTTTGAAATTGCTATTATTGCTCCGATTTCAATATAGTTTCGTGAATAGATGTATGAAACCTGGGCTTAGATTGTGATTATTCTGGCCATGTATAGTTGTATACTGAATTTCGATAATCATTTTTCAAAGTGAAGTTTTCACAAGCAAAGTAAAGTTTTTACAACAAAATCAGACGGTCGTCATGGTCGTTTAAAAACATGATAATACTTTTAGTATGATACAGTTCTTGCATCAAATCAATTTTTAAAGTATGGGGGAGGGGGGGGGGGGGTCAGGTAACGCAAAGCGATTTGATTGCAGGCGTGGTGTCCACGGGTACAAAGGGCTGAACCCCCCGAAAGCTCAGGGGTTTTGGGCATTTAATTACAGTCAGATGAGCATATTTTTAATACCTTATTTGTGACACTGGCAGGTCGATCACTAATTAGCGTGGGGTCTATAGTAGAGTTGCGTACTACGCTGAGCTGAGAGTACGCTGGCCTACGTTACTATACCCTGAGGGACGCAAAAAAGTACGAAAGATGGACGCAAACAATTTAATATGTTTAACAAAATTCGCGTACTTTTGGCGTAGAAACTTGACGCAGAAAGTACGCCTTTTTTACGTAACACTACGCTACTAAACTAAACAAACTGCATCTTTAAATGAATTAATGGAAAATTAGCCCAAGAAAAATGAGCCCCCGAAAGATAAAAAAGTAGCCCCCCAAAATTTTCCCAAAATTTGATATAGATCGAGTCCCCGAAAAAAAAAATCTTTCACTGGATTCTACGCTCACAGTCCCACACACAGTCGAGTCAATTTGTGCACAAACCGT